TCATGATTTATATTGTATTTATTACTTGTTTTTCTATAATAATCTGATGGAATTCACGAGACAGTTACAAAGTTTTTTTTTATTATCATCTGACAAAATGGAATGCAATATAATAAAAAATTCTAATAACATTGAAATACGTATATAATACGCATACAAAACATATATAATTCACAACTAAATTAAACATTGGAAAAAAGGTTTACAAAATTTTTGAATGCACGTGCGTTCTTAAAAATAAACGTAAGTAGTTGAAAAAAATAATGTAATCAAAGCAATATACCACCCAGAAGTTCAACACGAATGTGAGTTATGAAGACGTAATAATAAAAACGCCAAAGCAATTGTTATAGATTGCTATAAGGTCTATTTATAGTGAAATTAGTCAATTCACTTGACGTAGAGCTACAACTTTCCGGATGACTTATAACATCGATACATCAAAGTGCAATATGTCAACAAGGGGGGATTTGCGAAAGCATAGGATGAATTAGAAGGTTGCAATTAGAAGAAAGAGCGCCGAGACGTCGTGTGTCCATGAAATGCGATACTTTTGGTTAAGTCAACAACGGGCTGGAAGCTGTTGATGCCGAGGTATTCCTCAATTAGGAATCGCGCGGAGAGCGAGCATAAATCTAATGATTTCAGTCAAAATACCATTTGATATTCATTACTTTAAATACAAGACGCATATGTTCGAGTTTATAAATAAACACTTCAACCGGAGAGACTATGTTCTCGAGCCACTTACTCGTGCCCGACTGCGTGGAACTGTATCGAGTCTTCATTATACGCATCAAACACAAAGAAAGAATAATAACAATAATAAACTGCAGAAACATAAAATTAAAAGGAAATCTTAATTTTGTCACTAGTAATGCGTCATTAAAACAGATCAATTTAGGAAATTAAGTTGTACGGAAGTGGATTTATGTCTATTTTTTCCTCTCCCCTAAGTGTATTTTCATGTGTATATGTGTGAGGCTCGCAGTAATCGATAACTATAAAATGACGAGGGTGGCGAATATAAGCTTGTTCATGAAGTGACGGACTAACGGGATAGGCGGGCTTTTCGAAACGTAAACAGTTCAGAAGCGATCGAAGCTCGTCCAGATGAATGCCGATGGCGGTGGTAATTCGATGATATTTAAGGACCGACGCTAACGAGGGAATTAGTCGAACATGTGTGAGTTTCGGTTAAAATCCGTGTGCCTATTTCTAGAATCGAAGCTGTCAGAAGTAGAGTGCATCAAAGTTAATAGCTAATGCGCTCTGTAGATTCCTAATTATAACACAAACATAACACATCGCTTTATGTGCCGTTATACGAAAGCACCAAACAACAACAACGAGGACGGGAGATACGCAACTTCTTCCGTTGCTTTAAAGAAGAAACACTAAGTATGAAAGAGAGACAGAGAGAGAGAAAGAGATTGAGCACGAGCAAGAGCAAGAAGAGGAAAGTCTTCCTCGGGGACAGCAGGAACATTTGTTAAACGTTAAAGGGGGACTCCCCTGTCTCCTACTCCTCCTCATCACCATCCTCATCGGGCTCTTAATTGGCTCGGAGAGAAAAAAAATAACAACTGGGAGCGATCATTAAGCCACCACTCGGCATTCAAATTAGAGTTGACCAAACTTTTCATATTTCAACTCAACGCGATTGCACGGCATGGTAATTGATGAGCATGCGATTCATTAAAATGTTGACCGAGCCGCGCACAAATCTGTTGCATAACATTATTATAATTATTATATTATTAATAATTTGGAGCATGGACAATTCCTCCAACCACCGGATTTCTAATGCCGCTTTTGATAATTTACATATAACAATTTGTTAATTTATTCATAGAATTTTAATTAATTTTATAAGATCAACAAAACCGAGCAAATAACAAATGGAAATGGATAATTGGGACAAATATACTAGTCTCGCTCGTGTCTCAATTAAGCGGAATCGACTGTATTTTTAATAAACTGATCAAAGTTATTTAAAAAGAAAACTAAGTATTTTGTTGATTGTTTCATCAATATTATTTAGTAATTTTTTTGAAAACCAAAGAATGTTTCGTCTTGAATTAAAATGTAACTTACTCTTAATATACTATTAATAGTTAATTTCAGAAATATGTATAAAAAATCTTAATTTTCCACAAAAAATATATCTAATTAAATTTTGGATAAAATTTGTATTAAGTTAAAAAAAAACAATGAAAAGTATTAATTATGTTCTTAAACTATTTAAAAGCAAAAAGATCCTCATTCTTTTTGGAGACGAGAATTATTTTGTTTTAAAAGAAAATACGAAAATATTAAATTTAAAGCGAGGTTTAAAGAATTGTCTGTTCTGTCAATAAGAATAAAGAAAATACTCTCTCGCTTGGAAAAAATCAGAAACGGTACGGCTCCAGGTGGAGGAAAGGTGGCCAATTAGTAATACAAGACCCGAAGAAAGTATTTCGAAAGTACAGTCAACATTGGGAAATGGACGATAGACACATCGCAATTACGGCCGACGGATTACGTAACGATGAAGAAGGCTGCGGCCATGCGGGGGTTGACGGGAAGTCGCATTTCGCGGGGTGGTAACTTTGCGAGTCGAGAGTTCTTTTTCCGATTCGTTTCTCCACGATTTTTCATTTCCATCTCTCTCTCTCTCTCTTTCCTTCCGCTTTTCATATTTTCGGCGCAGTTTAAAGTTCTCCTCCGCTCGTAATGAAAGCGAGCTTTTAAACCTTATGTAGATGTAAGACCGTAGGCAGGCAATTAGTAAAAACACGGATCCCCCTTCGAAAGGGATTTGAACGAAGGGCTCGAGCCGAGTACAGCTGCAACGCAATATACTAAAGCAACGCCGCGAATCACGCGGTCGGCGAGATCCTAGTGGAAGTGTATACGTGGCACATCAACGCGCACGTTATACCGTGCATTGTTTGTGCAACGCTTCGATATTGAATCAATTGGGTTGTGTAATCGCCGCTTGCCTACGCAGCAATTCGGGGCTTTAGGGTTCTGTGCGTTCCGCTTGAGGGTTTTATACTTGATGAACATACTAGGTAGTCCCTGTTCTGTTCTACTACTACTATTCATAATCTCCCTCTCGCTCTCTTTCTCATTCTCTTCTAACCCTCCCTATTCTCCTTACAAAACGCAGCTCATCCAATCAATAACACCAATGGACTTGATAACATATAAAATGCAAACTCAATTAGAATTGCTTTCAGATGTTATGATATTAAAGCGGCGTGTCAATAAAATTTCGTTATTAAATATCCATTAACATCGGTTTAATGTTTTAGCTATGATTGATTCGGCGACGAGTGCATTTTATTATTACTATTGCCGTTGATTGATTGGAGCTGCAGCCCGAAACGCCAAATACTATTCCAAATCTGGATAAACCTCGTATATATACACACACACACATACACACACTTCATAAACAAAAGCTCCATTATCAAATACTCGTGACTAATTCATCACACTTTAATTAATCTAATCACACCTGATTAATTCACAACCATTAATAATTTTTCTTCATAATAATTTAAAAAATATTTTTATCATATATGCGATTCGTGTCATTTCCATATATTTCCCAATAATAGAACAACCAATTTTTTAATTTAAAAAAAAAATCCCTCCAATATAATCATAAAAAATAATATTAGTACTTATTTTCAATAAATATCAAATTGATATATTTTAATACGTTCATAGATTTTTACTTTATTTACGTATTTCTACTATAATTATTATAATTGAAGATTAAACATATTTTCGTCATTTGTCAAAAAAATAATAATTTGTGTATATATAATATAGTAGATCAACGAATTTTGCTTGTTTAGTAAAATAAATTATGTAATATTTGTGTTTTTTTATGAAGAAATATAAAATTTTATATAAATATATCTTTTGTCTTATATAAATTATAATTTACTATTGTATAAGCAGGGGTGGCCAAACTGTGGCTCGCGAGCCACATGTTATGATTGAGATTTTTTTTAAATTATTATACCAAAAAGTTTAGATGCGGCTCTAGCTGCAAAAAGTCTGGCCACCCCAGACCAATAAAGGTATTATAAAATCTTGTACTAAATTTCATAAGTATTGTGTTATACTTCTAATTATTTGGAACTTAATTGGAACTTATTTGGAATTAACGTGAAATACTTATATTTCGCAATATTAAGTTTAAATCCGGTAGCTCGAAAATGTACAATGTGAGGAGGCTTATTGAGTAGAGATTTAAATTATAACGAAATCCGATTACCTTATATTTAAAGCACTGTTTGTAAAATACAAACAAAACTACCTTTCAATATGTACGTTCTCTCAAACTTTCATATTAATATCAACTTTTATTGAAACTTTATGCATATAAAAATATCCTCCCCTTCATTGAATCGACTGGGGAAGGATATAAAGACAAAACAATTCTAATTATACAACGTGCTTCATAACTCTTAATATAACAGTAAAATCATCTTGACATTTTTAGCAAGAATTCATTTTATAATTCTTTTGCAAATACGACTTAGTAGTTAATTCATTTGGGACAATCTATATTCAATTTATATTACTCTTGATAAATTACAGATTTCAATTAAAACTTAATCATATTTTTTTTTTTGAAAATAATTCCCGTTTTCCCGATATTGCCGGGACATATTTCTAATTATACAACATAAACTTCATAGTTTAATATTTCAGCAAGAATTCGTTTCATTTTTCTTTTTTAAATATAATTATATAATTTCGGACAATTTTCATTAAATTCATATATTATATAATATGAAGAATATATTATTCTTAATAAATTAAAGATTGAAAATAACTGTGTTAATCATATTTTTTTAAACTAATTTGTAGAGGGTCATTCCCGTTTTCCCGGGAAATTATTATTTATGCAGCATGTTTTTACTAAATTTGTGGTACAATTGGAATATGGAAGTGACACGAAACATATACCTATACCTAAACCTAAGACAAACCTGTGTTTCGGTGACATTGAGAAGCTTAGCCATCTCGGACCTCTCGCTGCTGCTGAGGTACTTCTTCAGCTCGAACTGCTTCTCTAGCTCGAAGATCTGCCGTCCAGTGAAGGTGGTGCGTGCCTTCTTCTTCTTGGACTTTTCAGCATCGTCAGATAGCGGCTCCGACGACTGGACATTCGGCGGAGACGGCGACGCTTTCTGATCTATCGATTCCACCCTTGGCCTCTTCCTCTTCCTTGTCGATTCTAAACACCAAACCAATCCCCAAATAAATGGACATAACACTTGATCAATATTCCCGGATAGAGCGTCTTCGCTAAGCCCAAACTTTATATTCGTATTGATATATGAACATACAGCCCGCAGCTACTTTTCTATACATCTATATATTTATTTATATTCTTTATTACTACTTGCATATCAAATCCATACACACACAAAAAATCAAACTATTCCCAAAATCATAGGAGTTTTTGCGGAGACCGCAAAACAATTACAATGTGTACACGCACAATATAAATTTAATTAAAGCAAAACGGTGGTCTGCGAAAAATAAATGGAATTAGCAATAATTATAATTACAGTGTTGATAATGATGCAACAAAGCGTCGACGTTTTCGGCGGATGGGACCCGCAGGGGTCCCGCTTTTTAATTGGATTTGTAAGTTGATGAGAATTATTATAATAATAATTAATTGAATTCAATTGAAACCCATTTTGCATTAATTATGCTTCGAGCATTTTCTGGTTTCCACCGCCATCCCTAAAAATCAACGCCCCTCAGGAAAGCTACACGATTTTTATAATGTTATTGTTATTATGAAATCGTTCACTGTTTGAAAGGTAATCAAATTTAATATTGAAATCCATAATTATTTTATATTACATGATATTTTAAAATAGAAAAAACAACAATTATTTGCATTACATATACATAACAAAAAAGTACAATTAGAGTAATAACTTTTGATACCAAATTTATTTCGTCTCGTCCGTTACAAGAAAAACACAGTTACTACAACTTAACGTTTTATGTGCATTTAAAATTCATTTGTTTATCATCTTTTTGCTTGTAAAATCGTATAAACCTACCCCTCGTATTACACGGTACTTTCTTTTCATATGGTACTTTCTTTACACGTTTTCGCTATTTTTAAACCGTGTATTACAAAATAAATAAAATTGAAAATATTTTATTTTCGAATTACACGTTTTTCTCTACCGTGTAAATCGGGGGATAGGTATACTTCAGAATCGTTTACTAGACTTAGTTAACCATAGTTAAGCATTTATATAGGTAGCCTTTGTTCATTGTTATTACTTCAGAGACGCTGTGACAATAAAGTGTGATCATAAGACACATCTTTTTACGTAAAGTTTTCATATTTTTTTCACATCACATATAGCATGATTAACAACAAAAAACAAATACAGACGATTCATCATAATCGGACAATTGACAATTTTATATGAAATTGAAGTTTTATTGAATGAAACTGTGATAAAATTGCGAAAATCTTACAAAGAAATGAAATTTAGAAAATTTGTAAAAACATATTATTTTTAAATTTGTAAAGTAGGTCGTGGTAAAGGGACGCTGCCGAAAATCACATGTAATCGCGCCGCGTGCATAATGCGATTACGCAACATCAAACATGTGAAAACTAATTTGATTGAGCGGCCGTTTCCTATAAGCTAATTATACGGTAAAAATCGGTTTACGTGAATGTAATCCTTTCGAACGCTCATTATTGATAACCCGCATTATGATGTGGTACGTATTTCGCCGATGTTGCTAATAACAGCAGTTATTGTACGCATTCGGTGATTGTTACAATTAATTAGTTTATTGTTTGCGGCTGATCATTTTCCTTTTGACATCCAAAAGAAAAAAAGATATCCAATTCGTTCGAACGCATAATTACTGATAAAGCGAATCATTGCTGATCATGATGATGATTAATTAATACTGAATATGATAATCTCTATTGTTTTCTTAAGAATAATATCATTTCTTGAGATGATTGTTTTTCTTACAACAAAATACGAAAACTTATCTATTTTTTTCATATTAAATATGATATATCAACTTTAGTTAATAGTATCTAGATTACTGTCACAAATAAACAAATTCGGTCCATTTGACCCAAATTAAGAGAAATAAAAATTTGTAAATAATAAATGAAACAGACTTATGAAAAATATTGATTTACAAGTAAATTTAGGAGTGACAATAACAAAAATAAACACTTAAAAAGCAATATATTTTAAAATATGCTTATTGTCAAAAATGTTGTTGTATATCAATTTATAAATTATATAGTATATCCTGTGAGCGTAATTTTGCATGCGACGCTTCGAATTGTATTGTATTTAACCGCGAACTGTACACGTGGCATAGAAATCATTTGATGTACTCCTTATAGAAATTTGTAAGTGGCTCTGCTTGCGTTCATTGTTGTCTTATTAGCCACATCCAATCAAAATCTATAAGACTGCATTATAAGATTTATGCAAGGCATCTAAAGTATACATAAATGGATCGCTCAACGAAAATGTTCGACGCTGCTACAAATCGTCGAGCTTCATCCAAATCCTTTTCACAACTTTACATAAATCTCGAAACGAAAGAAATCATTTTCAGGGATTTTAAAAATATCTTATTTTAGTAAATTGTTACAAAATTTATATGTTCCAGATAGGGAAGATTATTTTGTTGTTGGTCAAAACACGCGCGACTCCAATATTGTACGTGTTTCCATTTCGCCAATTTGCATTTAACAACACGATCCACTCTACGCGCTATCCCTATTAATAGCAACGGTGCGTGTTCCTGTTGTTGTTGTTTTCGTCCATCTCCATTAATTTATTTATCAACTTTTTTTTTCCAGTTGTATCCAAATTTCCCGCCATTCAAAGACTCCATTTCCTAACGAGCAAACGGTTTTAATTGGTAATTTGAGCGTCGTGCGTGAAACACGTCTAACCGCTTAGTTTGCGGCCGATTACTACTCGCTAATTGCTGAAAAACTGATCGCGATAGCGTAATTATTATAATTAATTAAAGGGCCGCCTGCAGTACGCGTAGGGCCGTATGATGTAGCAATTTGAATGATCAATTTGTGGGAAGTTCGGCGCGCGCTTTTGTTACCGTATTCCATACAAACAGTCCTAATTACGGAAATGCATATACAATATATGGATATCTCTTAGTGAATGTTGTTAAGCCCTGCTTTTTTTTCTCTTTCTCTCTCCTGATGATGCTACGCCATTTCTCACAGGTAGATGAGGAGGCGGATGCTTACAAGACACCACCCACCATTACCTTCAATTCCAAGAAAATATACTTATTGAAATATACATCTCGAGTATAATAACTGTGCGTATCTTACTAATTTTGAGTAATATATATACCGTAATATCTCCTATATAATGCGCACAATATTTAATCAAGTTGCTGTTGAAACTTTTGATTTAAAATTAAATATTGTGCGTATTATACACGAATTTTGTTTATTTTGTATAATTTTGGACAAAATGTATGAGTATTTTATTTAGTAAGAAAAAAGTCATATTTCCACTGAATTATTATACACGAATATATTTTTTTGTAATTAGAAAATTTCGTACTAAATTAATAATGAGCATTATATTCGAGATTTTATAAAATTAAAAAAAATCTACTCATGTTTCTATTGAAACGTGCGTATATAATAAACATATAATCTTGTATTGTAGGAGCGTCAACTCGATAAAACCATAGACATTTCTAATTAATAACACGAATAAAATGAATAAAAATTACATTTTCTTTAATATTTTATTTTATTTATATGTTTTTAAATAAAAAAAATCGTACTAAACAAATAGTAGTATTAAGTAAAAATAAGTAATTTTTATAAAATCAGCAGTGAAATTACGAACTTTGACTTTTATAATGAACATTTTTAAGTTTCAGATAAACGTTTTTTTTTTGTTGTTGTTTTAATCTAATGCAAGTTTAAAAGCAGTTTAGCGAAGTGTATTTGCTTCCACTTTGTGTACCTTCGGCGCTTCTGCAATATTAACTTGAAACTTTATACAAGAGTAGGAAGAAAAAAAAAACGTTGTTTGTTAGTCTCGTATCTTTTTCTTTTTTTTTTAATGCTATTTAATAATTAATTTTAAACGCTATCACAATATATACTCATTCGTATTTCAAACATTAAAAAATTAAATAACCTAGCTTAGTTTAACAGAAATGGCCTTTTGTGTATATATTTTTATATTGTTTTGGTTTCGCAGAATTTTCATTTTAAACTACTAAAAAGAAACATAATTTATGTTGTAAGTATAAACACATATCCGCCCTTTAATCAACTAATAATTCTATAAAATCACCATATGATTGATTGTTCAGTTCTATTACAAGACATCATTTTGTAATTCCTTATATTGCGATTTATGATTATACCATTTGATATTCAATCAACACATCTTATTACTTGTTTATTTTTTATTGAAAATTAATATTCCCCCAGCTCCGAGAGTCTCATGCGGCTCTGCGTTGATTCAAGTGCGGCTCCCATTAAAATTTTATTTTTTTTTATATTTGAATTTTATTACTAAAATTTTAAAATAAATCTTTTTCATAATTATATTTTTTAGATGTGTTCTTACCTTCTTATATGAAAATATACAATACCATTAAAAAAAATAATTTGTGTATCTACGTGCATCCCTGTTATATTTGAAGTAGTAATAAACATAAAAAAAATATTAATTTACTAAACTTATCATAATTATTATAAAATTTATTAATTAATTAGTAGATAATTAATAAAATTGAGAAATTAAATAGAGATTTCAACACAATACTCATAAGCTTATAATAAACATATGTAAATCACGAATAATTTGTTATCATAAAAATCGTTTGCACTAATTTTTAATAATTGTAATTATCATTTTTTTGTTTACTTCTATAATTACTTAAATTAAAAATAAGTTAAAACTGAACTTAGGTTTAAGATTCACTTTTTTATATATATTTGATGAGCTGTAGGTGTAGATATAAAGCTTAGTTCGTTAGTTATATCATAAATTAATAAATGCGGTTGGAAGGAACTGCTGATAGGAAGAATTAATTATTGACATGCAATGAAGTAATTCGCGCGAAAGTTGCTGAAAGTTTTCGTTAGCGACGAGCGCCTCCCTCGGCGTTTTCAGTTATTTTTAATAGCGAATACTGCGATGTGCATAAAGATTCCAGAATGTCCGTAGATCACCTTAAGAGAAGGATTACCCTTGTTTATTAAGTCCGTGGGAATTTGAGAAATGGAACTGGCTTTTGGCGCGCGCAATTTCTGGAGCGCTTTTATTTTGATAAAGACGCGGATATGGATAGTGCGTGAAAATAACAGGATGAGGTTTTCGCGTAGCGGTTTGATATCTCCGAAGCGTGTTTTTTGGTTTTTCTTCAGCAGGATAGTATATGATAGGATAGGATAGGATATGACAGGATGGATTAGGTTGTACTCACCTTTGTCGAGAGCTTTCGTCCGTAATCTGTTGTTGCATTTGGTGGACAAGTTGAGTGGCTCATTGATGTCCACTTTGATCTGGCCTTCTGTGAACTCACTAACAGTCATATTGTCACTAGCTTCAGGATCGCCGATGCCTAGGATGTTCTCGATGTAGTGTGGGGTAGGTCGCGTGTTTAGCTTCCGGTACACATGCTCGTGCCAGCAAAAGAGGTCCTGACCGGCGTCGGACTCCTTGGCGACGATGTCTAGGTCCAAGGAATTGGCGGGAATTTGGGTGTCGGGGAAATCCGTAGCTAATGAGCTGGGATCGTTCGAGTTGATGGTTTCTGTATCGGAGGCCGTGGACATCTCTGTTCAAGCAACATCAGAGACCCGCGCGATGTTTTTTTTTATGTGCTTGTGCCCTTTT